ATGGGAACACCCGTTGTCTCCGCACCATCGTTTTTAGGTTTTTTTCCCCCAATGTTAATTTTAAAAAATTATCTTAAACATAAAACCCGAAAAGAGTTCCCTATGATCGTTGCAGGTATACGTATATAACTAACCTAAAACTGTGTATGGGCGTATAAGATTATTTGATTTCCTAAGATATCCTGTAAACCTGGAGTTCCGACGCGGGGGTATTTTCCACTGGGATTAAGTTGGAAGCACTGTCTGGAGGAGAATTCTAACGGTTAGCTGAATGATCGATAGGTATCGGTGGTTTCCCCGGTTAATACCAGACCAATGCCGGAGCAGTATCTGCACAACCGGGCCACGGAGTGCTCGCGAACTTACCCTCATCGACCTTGCCTCTCCTCTCACACAAACACACACAGACTTCCTTGCACCACACTATTAGCGAGGTTGGACAAAATACTTTAAATTTAATATTTAAATATTTCCCAAAAATACTTCGTATCACTGGTCTAAGAAATATTTTGTTCTGTACAAGAACAAAACACACTGTTTACGGTAGATGATTTGCCTCTCAATTCAGAATTTCTGTATCTGCCTCAGTTTTCATGTTATGATCGTTGTAAATACGTATGTTTCCTTGTGTATTATATGTACCAGGCAAAATGGCACGCTTTAATAACAACATATCACACTGTATACAGTAATAAATGCAACATAAATAAAAAAAAGTGAAGAAACATACCCAAAAATATTTCCTTCCCGATTTCTTGTGATACTTTGCCCCAGGAACGTGTCTTCGTAAGGTAGTCGGGCAACACTACCGTCTCTCCAATTGCCTCGAAAACGGTTTTCCATTTGAGAAATAAAACCGTTCGCAATGTTCATCGAAGTTATGTAGAAAGAAATCCAAATTAACATTCAAAAATTGTCATTTAAGTCACGTATTCCATCCCAAACGGCGATATAATGTCAATAGTTCATATACAATTTTGCGATTGTTCTCTGCTTTTTGTTGTATAATACGTTTTTACAGTCACTACTACTACAGTCACATAGTTTTACGCAACAAATCAGCGAAATGTTCATCAGCCATCAATTTTCTAATTTGCGGTCTAAAAAATAGTCCTCCCTTTATTTTTGCTTCACAGGTCCTTGGGATCTTCTCTCGCGTATACAGTCGACCCCGGTTGTAGTGAACTCGGATGTAGTGGACCTTCGCTTATTGTGAACATAGTCACTAGTCCCGTTTCACTTACATTACAAATAAGCATAAGAAGACTCGGTTATAGTGAACCTGAACCTCGGCTATAGTGATCGTAGGAAATACAACCTCCTGGCAAATAATTCCCTTCTGGAAAAGAATATATCGCCTCGGTGCCACAAATTCCAACACCGAGCAGCTTGAAAAATGTCGGCCAAAGACCATAATAGAAGTAGTTCCCTGCGATGGTAGGGAACCAGGAATGTGCACCATGCTGATGACCTTTCAACTGCGGACACGAAGGCCATGTCGTGCGTGGCCTACAACCGGGGGCGGCGACTCGCGATTGCTTACTTCCGTATCAATCTTGGCGTTCCTTGATATTCCGCGGGGCAAAGCGCGTATAGTTCTACGTAGGCGACAGGATGCGCGCGACTGCCACAGCCTGGCGATATCCGCCGTGTCGCGCGGACAAGCGATCAGTTCCATTAGCCACTTGACCCATCCCGCGACCGATTCATATATTATTAGGCGAGTAAACGAGCCTTCAGAGACAGGACGTTATTCCAACAGTGCAAGAGACATTGAAGGGTGTCAAGACTGCATTACGATGCTTATTGTTAGACCCAGAGGACAATATAGAATCAATTATTAGGAGAGCACGTACTGTGGAGAAGGATTTAATGAAAAAGTACGAAGCAACCAATTGAAAGAAAAAAATATTTTTTAAGGCAATTAAACATGTTAAAATTTTCAGTTCGTGCTGTTAATGTATTTTGCTCTATCTCTATATTAATAAAATCAATCGTTATGGAGAAATTCTGTTTAATTTTGATATCCTGGGATATAGTGAACCTCGTATTGTGAACCAAAAATGTAAGTCCCCAGAAGTTCACTAACAAAGTTCAGAACCGGAGTTGACTGTACATGAATCCATGTGATGTTTTGAGCTTGTTTTTCACAAAGTTTTTGACAAGACATAATTTAATGTGGAGCAGTGGAGGCAAATACACATTTTGGGGGCCAGCAAGAGGAGTATTGACCACATTTCTCTTTTCAGTCCGATCAGTCCATTTTCCCCCCACTTCAATGGTTCTAGCAGACCCTGGAATTTGAAACCGAAATTTTAATTTTGGGGGTACTTTACATGAAGCCCCTAGGACATTTTCAAAATTTTCAAAACAATGCTCCAATTGTTTTGGTTGAATAGTGCAAAGGACGTTTAAAAGAATGGTGCAGGTCTCAATTTCTTTGACTCCCCGGTTTTTCGAAAAATGGGAAAAAAATAAAACTTCAAAATGGGAGATAAATATTTTTGTCACAGATAGCGCCCATTGTACAATACAAGCTCTTTAAAAAAAATGTACAATTGTTTTGAAAAACGAGTAGTTTTTGAGTTATTTGCGATTGAAATGTACGAATGTTTTTCTCAAAAACAGCTCCAATTTTTTTCTTTCAATTTTCTTCCTCTAAAGTAATAAGAGACGATAAAAAATATAGTGTTAGACAGATTTTCGGGAATTGCTCGTTGTTTTTTTGTTTTAATTTTTAAAAAAATTAAAACTACCAAGTTGAAGAGTCTTTTGCTTTTCACAAAGCCTGTTGTACACAATTGGCTCTTCAAAAAATTTCATGTATTATTGTTTCAAAAAAGAGTAGTTTTTTAGTTATTTCTGGTTGAATTTAATGAAGTATACACAGGTTTCACTCTAACTACAGGCATAGGAAATATTGGATGAATGATACGAAAAATAATTAATTTAATTTTAATTAGATTTTTTATTGAAAATGTTTAAAAATTAATATTAATGTTATGCAACACTTGACTAATACCCCCCTGCTTCTGTGTAACAAAGTGTAATGATACCTCTGACCCTCTCCCCCCTCTTCAGCATTACATAACTTATGGACAACCCTTTAAGATACTTTACAGTAATAATGTCAACAATTCTAAGAAAGCCAGCCTGGATAGCTGAAATCACTAGGGCTGAAGAGACGTAGCTGCCTGGGCTTGAAGGCATTGACCAATTTTACCCTCTTTTCCTGTTACAGTAGAAAAATTTCATCATAGACTAATGGTTCTACACAAGAAGTGTTTCAGAAGGATATTTCATCCTAATCTGGGTCAGTGTTGTAAATATTACTATTTTAAATATGATATACTGTTCTCTACATTCCCAAAGTATAAATATTATTAAGAAACCATATAATCAATACTTTGAGAGTAATAAAGATTTATACAACTATGATATTCGAGGATATAGAGTTTATCGATAGTTTGGCCACAGAGTTTTCTTGACAGACTGATTCACTTAAAAATTTAGAAATAAAATCTTAGAATCATACAATTAAAACTTTTTATTCTTCTTGAACAAAATTTTATTGCAATGTTTCAAAGAGTAATACCTTTCCTCATTTTTCAGGCTACAAGAAACATTTTAGCAAACATTGAACTAAACGAAACATTACTAACATTAAAATACATTGAAAACAAATGATACAAATATAATAAACTAGTAGCACTTGATATAAAACAATATGTGGAGACTCATCATTTTAAAAAACAAAAGATAATTAATATATTAAAATAAATTTGAAAGCCAGCCAGTGCAAAAGTACACTTACCATGGCGATAGCATAAAGAGGATCAAATGGTCACCACTGAATGGAAAAACAAATGGGTTGAGCCCATTATGAGGAAGTAAGAGTAGGAGAAGGACAGGAAAGAAGAATTTATGTATATATTTTTAAGTGAATCCATCTGTCAAGAAAACTTGGTGGCCAATCTTTCGCCGTGAATAAATTATAACAGGCATTTTTGTGTATGTATTTATTTTATTTTTTGTATAATCTCTCTCACTGTAGCAATTCTTCTCTAACTAAAGATTTATTCTGAACTGCTGCACTGCACTGAATAAACTCTTGGTTAACATACAAGCAGTTGATAATAAGTACTTCTAAAATAGGTATGGGATTCAATAATTAATTTACAATGTGCCATTGCAAGAGTAACTATTAATTACACCTTCATATTATATAATTTGTCCTGTATTCATGTCAAAGGTGTTCTTATTATTAGAAGGTATATTAAATAATGTTAATTAATATAATAGTTATTGTTAGCTATTATATTTTTATTTATCTATAATCTATTATTTTAGGATAATTTAAATTTGTTCATAAGTTAGTATATACTGTACACATTTCTCTAACAAAAACCCTTTTAGATTCTCCACATTATAGTCTATATATTTTGGCTTATGATGGTACTATCTATAATCTCTTTATAATTTTAAAATAATCTTAAGAATCACAAAGCCTTTATTCTTTTATTTTAAGTGCTCTTGTAATATTAACAGAGCAAGATGTTTTTCTTAAGGTAAAAGCCATTTCAATAACAGCTGGAAATATATTTACGAATCTGATGTAACTTTTATCTGAATGTTTTAATGAGGTCAGGTTACACCACAAATTAAATTATAAAATTCAACTTTCAACAAAAATTTTAAATTGTGATGTTGAACAAGGTTCACACAGTTCTGAACAGTGTTTTGATGTATCTTTTTCAATAACCTTATGTTATAAAATTAAACGAACGTACCACACTTTTGAAGTACGACAATGAAATATAAAAAAATACATGCAGAATATTCAACATCCACGCGTTTTTAAACCAAGCGCCAATATGTGGAAAGGACGTAAGACGACTCAAGGACAATAAACGTACGTTCAGTATCTTTTGTATTATTGGGCGCTATTTTATAACGAAATAATGGAAAAGTTGTAAATTAATTGTTAGTAAGAGATAACGTCACCCAGACGAAACATCAAATAATTTTGCAATTTTTCGTACTGACATGTACACGGAACATCTATAGTCAACTACAAATAAAATTTCTGAGCACACACTGCGAAGTTACCACGAGATTGTATGTGTTTCGGAAGCTCAAAATAGGTTAATATTTTAGTAGGTCTTGCGGTTTGTTGAGAATAATGATGTAAATAGACAAATAGTCTGTGACTTTTTGAAGGTTAGTCAATAATTCCTTTTTAAGACAGCGTTCGAAGATTCACATTTTGCGTGATTTAAATTCCTAGGTGAAAAGTGTTGATAAATGCTGTTCTAGTGTGTCTTGTCAGTCGAGAAATTTTGTCACGTATACGTGATACTTTTTTCAAAGTATAGTTCTTGAAACTTAAATTATGTCAACGACATTTCTTTGATGTTGAAATGAAATAAGGGTACATTAAATTTCCTTTCTTGAATTTTTCATTCCGAGATGAACGGAGGAAGAAATGTGCAGTGTGTGAAGTTGCTTTTATGTATTATCTCGGATTTCTCGTGCGTTTATTTATTCTTGTTTTAAGAATTTTGTAGTAAATTTTGTACTGCTGAAATATTTTTTTATGAAAGATTATCATAATTTATTTAGGTATTTTCTTGTTTTATATTGGTTATTATTTTTCAGATTGTTGCACTATAGACTTTTCCTCCCTTATGTGGAGAGACTAGTGTTAACAAAAAGGGACAATTTTCAACTTTGAAAACAAAATGCCTCTGTTTGGAAAATCCCAGAAGAGTCCCGCAGAAGTGGTGAAAGCTTTAAAAGAAGCTGTCAATGCTCTGGAAAGAGGTGACAAAAAAGCTGAAAAGGTGAAGCAATGCTAAATGATAAGCTCAGTGAAATTATGAGGAAAACATACATATTGATAACTCGTGCATTGTATACTATATTTTTTGTAAATTTAATTTTATGCATTCCAAATTTGTCACAGGCCCAAGAGGATGTTAGCAAGAACCTAGTATTGATTAAAAACATGTTGTATGGAACATCGGATGCTGAACCCCAGACTGATATAATTGTTGCTCAGTTGGCACAAGAATTGTACAACAGTAATCTTCTGCTGCTACTCATTCAGAACTTAAACCGAATTGACTTTGAGGTACCCAGGAAATGAATTGAAGTAATACTATTATGCCTGTACATTAAGTTTAATATTTAATATTTTATATGCGTATCTTATAGCAGAGTTACAGGCATCTCAAGTAACATATATGGCATATCAGATAGATTAATGAAGGAAAGATGTCTTGAAATGTGGAGTAAAACTTCAGAAAATGAAGTAGTGGACAGAATTGGAGGTACTTTTTTTAATACTTGAAAACACACTATGAATAAATTACATTTCAGGGCAAAAAGGATGTGGCTCAGGTTTTTAACAACATTTTGCGCCGTCAGATTGGTACCAGATCTCCCACTGTTGAATACATTTGTACAAAGCCCGAGATTCTGTTTACCTTAATGTCAGGGTAACGTATTGAACAACCTTAACATTAATAAATAATGATAATAGGTGTGTGCTTTGATAGTGTTGTAAAGTGAACCTTAATTTGTGGTAATATATACTGTGGAATTGATTTTGTGTTGTGTTGAATAACAGATATGAACATCAAGAAATAGCTTTAAATTGTGGGACAATGTTAAGGGAATGTGCAAGATACGAAGCACTGGCTAAAATAATGCTATATTCGGAAGATTTCTACAACTTCTTTCGTTATGTTGAAGTATCAACATTTGACATAGCATCTGATGCATTTTCAACTTTTAAGGTAAGTGGCGTCAACAAGACATGAAATTCTGAATAAATGCTTTGGAAGTCTTCATGATTAATGGAAAATGTCGTTAATTTTTCTTTGATTAGGAATTGCTGACGCGTCATAAGATCCTCTGTGCTGAATTTTTAGAGATGAATTATGATAAGGTGTTTTCACATTATCAACGGCTCTTGAATTCAGAGAATTATGTAACTAGGCGTCAGAGTTTAAAACTTCTGGGAGAGTTATTGTTGGACCGGCACAATTTCACTGTAAGTAAGATGTATAATAAATAATCTACAATTGTGAGCTATTGTAGGTGTATTGTTATCTCTGGGAACATTAGTTCAGGAATTTTTTGTTGTAGTCTGTCACCATTGCTTACCATTTTTTATACAAAAAGTAAGTTTTCAATTGAGTGGCAGAGGATAGTGGTGATGCCATCTACAGCTAGTGTTCAGAGACAAAGATTCTCGTTCAGTTAACTTCCAAACAATGTTATTTAAGTTATCACTGAATATAAGTCTGCCCTTGGTGTAATGAACATTCCTTGACTAAGAACTTGACAGTCCTTCACAACTTGTTTCCGCTGTGTTTTAATACATGCTAATGTTTTTCTTTTGTTAGGTGATGACTAGGTATATTTCTAATCCAGACAATCTTAAGCTCATGATGAACATGTTGAAAGAGAAATCACGTAACATTCAGTTTGAAGCCTTCCATGTTTTCAAGGTTTGTTGAATGTGTGTATATATATTTAATGTGAGTGATATTTGATTTTGTGCAGAAGTGTTTGGTGTGTATCAGTTTTAATTTCTTGTTATTAGTAAAAGTTTCTTCTCTATTAAAATATTTATTAATGAGGTGTGTGGTTCAAGATAACCTTGAGCTGAGGAGTTTTACATACTGTATTTCATGTTGTACTATGAAAATGGATTTAAATGATTTTTCTTCACTTAATTAATACTGTGAGAAATTGAGATACTAGAGTGCTTGTTTATGCTTGCAGGTCTTTGTAGCAAATCCTAATAAACCTAAACCTATTCTGGATATCCTGCTTCGCAACCAGGAGAAACTAGTAGAATTTTTGACCCGTTTCCACACCGACCGTTCTGAAGATGAACAGTTCAACGATGAGAAGGCATATCTCATCAAGCAAATCAAAGAACTGAAACCCATCACTGAACATTAACAGTGGCTAATGACAGAGTGCGTAGTGAAAAGAGAAAATCAAGTGCATAATCATATTTACAAAGAAGAAAAGTTGCTTCCATTATTTTGTAAAAGGAAAAAAAGAAAAAAAAAAGTTTCGAGTTGGTTGGAAGGGGAAAGATTATAAGCTGTAAATCAAGTCTAAATGTATTGGGAGGGTAACCATCACTTGCTTCCAGCTTGGTTCTAGTGTTACGTGAGTGGCACACTGTTTTAAGTGCACTGAGTATTCTCATATCATGGGCTCTTGCATGATGTTAACTAGTCCCGTTCACCATCATTTTCTGCTGTTACTGCTATTTTGGAAGTGAAAAAGTGCAGTTTTATTTCTGGATTCTTGAGAGAAGCCTCTACACAGTTCATATTGTTGTTTCACTTCTTCAGTATTAAGAAAACGAGTCTGACATTACTAACATTTTGTTCATTAAAAAGGCAGAGAAAAAAGTTTATATTGGTACTGTTAGCTAATAATATGACTGACATCTAATCTGGTGATAATAGCAGAGTCATTGTATTGCAGTTAAAAATGCTGCTTCAACAGAACAGTTCAGAATTTTATTTCCATTGCATATTTTAAGTAAGTTAACAAAAGTTACATAAATAATACGTGTAGTATTTTAAGCAACTTGACTAAGTTTGCTGGAGGTAAAAATCTACGAAACGAACACAGAACAGACAGGTTGTGTCACTGTGTCAAGTCTTTTGCCTTACAATATATCACAGCTGTAGCTGATAACAGATTTTGCAATACCATATTGTAAATTGGACACAATTGCCTTTAATCATTATGAATTAATTTGCTTGATTTCTTTTTAGTTTACAGCACCTGTTCTGTTTCTTTTATTGTAAATACCGTGTTATATTCTTCGCTGTAAGATTGTATCATACAATTGGATTTAGATTGGAGTTTATATATTCAATGTTAATTTGGTTAGTAAGCAGTAAAAGTTGCCACTGAGCAAAACTGTATTTTCTTATTTGATGTACTAAAAGCTTTCATGTTTGTGTTTGGGGTTACATCTATTACCAAAGTGCACTCGGATTTCTCATAGAACAGTCTTATCATATTGTGTAATTTTAAAGCTGAATTATGGTGTGTGGAGGAGAAAAATTAGGGAAGGAAGAAACCGCTGCCTTTCAGGTGTTTGACATGCTTATGTATGTACAGTCCTTGCCTAGACAAAATGCTTCATGGAACTATTTTTTTAGATTGTTGATTTTGGAAATGATCGTAAATAAATCGGTGTGTACTGCTCTCTGGAGCAAAACTCTTTATCTGCCTCTGTACAGTTAATAAAATATTTTAGTAGCTCTTCCACATGGATAAGCCTTATCCTTTTGTGCACACCCATCAGATGACTTGTAATGTTTAGAATGTTCGTTGTATAGGCTTTACATGCACCAATCTTTATTTGATGACAATTTTATTTCATTTGTCATAAGTTGATTGCATTTAGTAAGAAAGTTGTACTACATATATCACAATAACAGATGTGTAAATTGTGTGTGTGTTATGAATTACCCTATTCTGCATACCATCCCATCCATATCACTCTATCAATGTAAGTTGTGGCGGATGGATAACAATTAGAACTTTGTCTAGCATAACTACTAAGTTAACCATTCAAAATGTTTGGTTATGTCATCAATTAATTTATGTTTCTTGAACTGACTTCATTGTTCGTTTTTTTAATGATGAAAAAAAAAAAGTTGAAAATTGTTATGTAATGTGGGTGTTTGATTTTCATTTTGTTTCTTCTGGACATTGGTTCCTGAGTGAAAAATTATAATGCAAGATTCTGTTCAAATAAAATTCTGGCTCATAACGTACATGAATTCTCCTGTTTTATTTTAGGTATCATTCGTTTCATTTATCCGTAATAAACACAAATAAGTTGTTAAATCTCAATGTGCCCTCCACTTCTGAGGCAAATTTAAGAGCCTTCATTTCTGAGTAAGGGTAGATAAATAGATAGATAAACATGTATTCTACAATGTACAATATCCATATTTGCTATATTATTTTCTATACATTCTACCCTACAATTTATAATATCCATTATTACTGTAATTATTTTCTATGCATTGTACACCATTGTATACTATTATTTAATATTTTCCTGAGGAAAATTTTGAAGTAGAAACACTTGTTGAAAATTGATGAAATAATTTGCCAAAAATACTTCTAATACATACTTTATTTTGCGCACATTGAATACGACCAACTACAATATATTCAATCATGGTTTCTCAAATCTTTATTCAAATATCTTAATTTTGAATGAGCACCGATACCTGAACTGGGCTGCATTAAAAAAATTCATGAATTGGAGCAATGTTAGAACAAGGCTGGAGAATGAGACTACAAAAAACCTTTCATAAACCCACTTTGTCCCTAAAGAATGTCTCGTGGTGTGACTTATGATTAGGGCTTGAATTGATCAAAAAAGACTAGTGGTGCTACAGAATGGCATACAGATTTTAGAGTCTTCCTTATTTTTTTATTTCATATTTTGTCTTTCTTAGTTTCTTTGTCAACTGCTTAGGCCTATGTACTCCACTTGAGTTAAATTTTGGTAGATTATGATTGGTCACTTCCATTTTGTGAAAACAAATGCTCTTATATTGAACAATTTTGCTTTTTAATTGCTGACAGGGAAATTAATTTATTGTTAAAAGAGCAGGTTTGAAACAGCAAGGCCAACTTTTAATTTAACGATCAAAACAAAAATTAATTGAAAACTAATTTTTTAGATTCAAAAATAATTTAAAAATATTCTTGTAACTTATTCTTTGCTAATAAAAAAATTTTAAAATATTCTCTTAAAATTTCAAGGGACCTGACGCAAGTATTCAGAATATGGGAGGAAATACATGGAAGTGTAAAAGGTAATTGTTAATTTTATTGGTCTGGTCAGAAAACAAGCAGACTTATAACCATAGTTTGATAGTGAATGCAGTACTATAAAATAAAGGTGGGCATGCTTAGTATCAGGAAACAAGAGCAGGCATTGAGAATTGTATTTGTTGAGCAGTCTAGTTTTCACAAATTGGAAGGAGAATTCTAAGTAAGAATCGTGTAATGTAGGAAGAAAAATAAGATAATTTGTAGAGCCTTATAGAGACAACATAGCAGGCACCATGAATAGAGCCTGAATGTTTAGACATTTATTCTGCTTGAAATATTCAAAATGCACTTAATTTTGATAGAAGAAGCCCTTAAAAAAAATTAAAATTCTGTGCTTATGAAAATCAGGAATTTATGATGATGATTATCATGATTTTAAATTAAAATTCTATGCTTATGAAAATCAGGAAAAAAATTTATTCACAATCATCACGTATTGCAGGATAAAATGAAAAGGTCAGAGGTCTGTTTCTGATTAAGCTGTAGGCCTGGAATGGATATTAATCTTCCAGGTGTTCCTTTTCCTTCTTTGTCTTACAATCTCTCTCTGCCCCAGTGGTCCGTAGCTCTGGAGCTAAACATTTTCACTCATTAATGAAATCTTATATTATTTTTTTTCATAGGTGCGTGCAGTCTAAGGAGGATAATGAAATGCAAACTTTAATGATAAAATAAAATTAATATATCCAAATGATTTAATGTCAAAGCATTTACAGGATTGCCAGATGTTTTTGAAACTTCTCCTCCAAATGTCGTGTGTCATATACTCAAAAATATGAGCTTAAAAAGGGGAAATCCAGGAATTGATGATATGTATGGAAATAAAATATTTTATTACATAGGGGTGAGGGCCGGGGAAGATCCAGCAGATTATTTGGGGGGTGCATTATAGATTTTTGTTAAGTAATAAACATATTTGTTTGTATATTATTATCGTAGTGTACATACAATACTATACATTATATTTTTTTAATAATCACATAATTCTAACATAAATAAATATTTAAATCAATTTTACTACTATTATTTCCAATTTTTTTTTTATTCATCTCATTTTTCAATTCCTCTATCCTCTATCTGGATCGTATGAGCCCCTTGTATGTGGAGAATATGCTCAATATACAGAGGAGTCAAAAAAAATGTTTACACTCGGCCAACAGTTCAGTGACATCAACATTGTTTAGCTGTTAAAGGGAGTCACTTTGAACACACCTAAATGTAAGAGCATTCTGCAAAGCTTTCAATTGAAAGAGCAAGAAAGAATCACAGGAATGTCTTCCCTTTCCAAATAAACTCACTATCAAAGACTGGATACATGTTTTTGGACCCCTCTGTACTTTACCTCCTTAATCAACATGAATATATTAGTCAAAGAGAGGGGTTTAGTGAGTCAGAGATCTAATGGGAATGTGTCATTAATTAAGTATAGTTTGATTGCCAAATAGGAAAGATTTTTGAAATCAGGTTAATCTGGGAAATAAACTTATATATTCGTTTTAAACAGGCGAAAATTTGCCAATCCCTCTTTTGTAAACAAAATGAAGGATGAGACCATAACTAATATTCAATACATACACATTAAAAGACCACTTTTCTGCCTGCAGTAGCACCAATGATTCTGACAAATGAAGGAATAAGATATAGAAAAAGGTCTATGTTTGAGTTCCTATGGCGGTAGATCTGTTCTAGAAAAGAAATGTATCTACAAAAATTCAACGATGTCTAAGAATTAAAGTTCCTTTCAATGTATAAACTATGATGTACTAAATTGCGATGACATTGGGTGTTACCATTTCTTAGTGTTCTTCTACCTTTAATCACAGCAAAATATCAAAGATTCATCTTCTCACATCTTAAATTGTTATCATCTTGCACATTCCTTGGAGAAATTGTGACTGTTCTCTTTTGAATAGTGAGCAGAAATGCTTGAAGAATTAGCACAATAATAAGCTATCACCAAATTTCAAAAAAATAATTTTAGAATATTGAAACAGAATATTATTCAAGTAAAAGAATAAAATATTTTAAAATTGAAGAACATGTTTTCAAAAGGAATACAATTTGCTCTGACAGAAAGTATTCACTCACAGTATAGTTTTAACAAAAATTATGGAAAAGAAAGAAAAAAACATTTGGAATTATGAATTCGTATGAAATTTCTTTACAAATTTGTCCATATAATTTCTCCTTCTGGAGAAAGTTATTGTTGATAGTTCAGCTGTTACACTTATTGAATATAGTAAAGTAAAGAGAGAACAATAACATTATATTTTGCTTTTGTGTTGTCTTTCCTTATTAAATCAATAGATTGGATAATTTATTCAGTGCACATATTTGTGATAATATTGTCACTGAATCAATTTGAAATTCAATTAGAAATGAATTATGGATGTAGTAAAAATTTAATAAATATTAATATTGTAAAATTAAAGAAACATGTTACTGTAAGCTCATACATTTTAAAAAAAATTGAAAAGGTCTCTCATTTTAAGAAAATCTGGATTGTTGAAATACTAACTTCAGAGTACCTATAAAACAGAACGCCAAAATAGGAGATTTCAAATGTATTAATGAGAGGAATGCAAAAGTGTGGGATGAAATATTCCAAAAAGGTTTTATGTGAACTGTACTCATTTGCCTGATCTTCCGTTTCATTTCATATCCTCCAAAGAGCAAATTACGCAGAATTCCCAAAAAGAGCTAGTGCAAATCATTGATGCTCGAGTAGTACTCCATAACGTCGCTAGATAGCAACATATTGTCCTGAACATTAGAAGTGTATGAAATTGCCGTAGAGCGCGTTAGTGTCGTTGCCGCTAAGAATGGCGCCTGTTGGCGATCGATTTGCACGTGTCAGTAATTCATTGAAGAGTTAGGTTAAACATATATGTGGCATAAAGTGCATTTTCATGTGTGAATGAATGCGTGGTTTTGTGTCAAAAAGGTTATTGACTGTAATAACTAGTGGTCCTTTTGAATGAGTAAAATTTTCGCACTGAGGTACCTGCCATCCCGTGAATGATTCCTCTGATGGATTTGTGAGTTAACTTTTGTATTTTGTCTCGTTTTTTAGCCATCCTCCTTTCGGCATTTATTTATGTAGTGATAGACTATTTTGTACGAATACACCGACGACAGGTAGTGCAGTCTGTGTATGATGTATGAATATTACCTAATGATTGAATGATTATAGGGTTCTAAATTTAATTATTTATTTTTGTAAGATTCCAGAATAGCTCTCAGTGAGAACAGTTATTCAAAAGTTCTCCCCCGAACACTGCAATGCACCCTTCAGTTCCATAATTTTTTTTTCTGATTTTTCTTTAACAGGAATCTTCTTTACTTTGTGCCTTGAATATTGAGTACTTTTTATAAGGTGTATGTTCACGTAATAGCTGTAGGCTACAATCGTAACTCTTAATCAATTTGTACTTTTACGTGCATGTTTTCTTACTTAGTGTGTCAATTTATTTTTTTATTGAAATATATGAATCTGAGTAGAATGCCTACCCATTTTATTTTATGTTTGTGAATCCTTATCTCAGATAGTCTTTGGAATGAGTAGCTATGAAATGAATCGAAGGGTTTTTCGTTTAATGTTCGTAGTGTCGAGGTTGATCCTTGAAAAAATCATCCGTAGTGTCGGTTGTTTTTAAGTAACTGCTTAAAATCACATTTAATCTATTTGTCTTGTGATCTGAACATGGATTGCTCGAGTTTTCTGTCTTACACTTTGAGGAAACTTGTACGAGAAAAATTAAATTGCAAACAACAAAAGGCGAGAGGACACTAACCTTCTCTTCTTTTGGATCATGTTTGTTAACATGTCTTTTCTATTGCTTAATTATTTTGTTATAGCTCAAGATCTGTATGCATTTCAAAATAGTACGTATGGGCGTGATACAATATTTATTTATAACGTAGAGAAGACGCTCATTTAAAGGTGTCGAAAGGGCCTAAATTTTTTTTTCGAATCCATGATTTGCTGTCACTCCTGCTGCTTCTCCTCGTGTTGTTGCCTGAGAAATCAGAAGCCCACGAATCTCAGTTGTCCCATGAGGAACGGACGACTGAGTCGCTAAAGCTATTGAAATATGATGTGTCGCAAACCGGTGCAGTCAGGATTTGTGTTCTGGGGAAGCTATACTCCTATTAAAACAGAGGGCGACGTATAATCACCTGGAACGCAACACTGCAATCTGGAGCTTCGTTACAAAATTTTTGACATTGGAACTCCCGACTGGATAACTAGGTCCCAGCTAATCAAACTCCAATTCGCTGTTTTAAAAGAAGAATAGAGGCTATTTTCTAGACCCATGATGTTACATCATTGCTAGAAATTTGTGCTGTTAAATTTCTTGTTTTGCTTTTCCCTTTCTTCTCCGTCTCTTTCGTCTTCTTTCGCTTTATTTTTCTCCCATCTTCGGCTGAAGTTTATGTTCGGGGAACCTGCTCTGTTCATTTGTTGATTGGGGGAGGGGGGTGGCTTAGCCAAAGTTTTGTGTGATATGTGCTCCAGTTCGCTCGCGTTTTACTGCTATGTGTAAGTTGCTTGTGTAGGTTCGCGTCGGACCTTGGTCAATAGTCAAATCGGCCTTTGGGTTGCACTCCGGCCTCATAATATCAGAGGGGAGTGCTTGACTTCTTTGTCCTATAGTGAGGTCGTCTCGAGCTTATTGTTTTAGCGTTCCTGGAGCTTCGTTGGTTTGAAAGGCTTGATAGGCTTCGTTAAACGAAAGCCGTCTCAAGCATTGATTGAAGGAATCGATATCAAGTTCCTTCCTCAGTACTTTCAACCGTTTCCGAAACGGAGGGCTTGCTATGAGCCGTAGAACTTTGTTCTGTACCAGCTCAAGTGTATCCTTGTACTTCTGTGCTGTGGCCCACCACGTTGCCGCAGCGTAGGTTGATTGTTGATGTGTGTTGCCAAGCCAACAATTTATACTGCGATTTTTCCAACTCCGACATTTTGGCAGGTATCAGCTGTTTCATTCAATCGGGAGCTTGAACGTCACCATAGTGACGTCACTCTTTGGGGTCCTCTGATTCCGGAAAAGTTTTGTTTTTCAAAATGTCCGTCTGTAAAAATAATTGGTGCCTAAACCATTCGTAGGATTTTTCCAAATTGAAAAAACCCTGTCCATCTGGTTCGAGTCAGAGCTTTGAACTTTTGAAAAGCATGCTTTAAAATTTTGGGGTACTTTACGTAAAGCACCCTGGACATTTTCAAAATTTTCTCAAATATGGTTCCAAATTTTTTCTTTAAATTTCTTGTGAAAGTAGATTAAAATACATTTTAAAGATGACATAGGCACGATTTTCACTATTAACTCTAAATTGTCGAAAATTGCAAAATTTCAAAATTTTTCGCACGTCTTTCTACAACTTCAAAGTTGAAGATATAGTATTTTCCTTCAAATAAAATCTGTTCTCCATAGTGAGTTGTTTCATTGAGGTCATGTACAAAATTTTAGTTGTTTCGCGCAATATTGCGTGCAATATTTGTAATTTAAAAAAAATCAAAAACAATATTTTCTCAAAAACGGCATTAATTTTTCTTTAAACGTTTAGTAGGGATAGTGCTAAATTTACTCTATAAGATGACATAGATGCCTCATTGCTCTATTCTTTTGTATTTTCGAAAATTACAAAAATGTAATTTTTTGACTTCTCTCACCTCATTAATAATTATGATACCGTCGATGTGTTCACATTATTGCGTTTATGGCTATGCGTGCTTTAAATAATGTCAAATAAAGTTTCTCGAAAACTCAACAGTTTTTTGTGAAAACTAGCTGAAAATTTTGCATATTTAGAAATACTCAAACGCCATTTTCTCAAAAATGGCTCTAGTTTTTTTCTTCATACTTTTCGAACGGATGGTGCTTATTACACCCTTATATAACGTCAGACGGACAGACGGACGGACGGACGGACGGACGTTTTGCCGTCAATCGTTTTTCGCTAACAAGGACCCTCTAAACATGGATTCTGGCTACACCAAGCGTTAGAGGATTCCCCCCCCCCCTATATTTAGCAACTGGATTTATCCGCTTTTTCTTTACCGGGGCCCGGCAATACGTTTTTTCTTCCGAAAATGCGCCCTTTTCGCCTAGCATTACATAACGTTCTACTTCGTAGCGAAAAAGTAAAATTCGAAGGGAGAGAAACAGCTATTTTTCAAGGCGTTGTGTATAATAAAACGTCCTGGTTAACAAGACGCGAACAAGGGCAAATTCTGGCGCTTTTCAATGTGTTCTGTTTTCAAATTTGAGGGATGTTCGGTCCTTTACTGGTTTCGGTGAGATTAAAAAAAAATTGGCGCGGAACTCAGAGGATCGAAAAATCAGAGTAATATCTTGATTGTTCACTAAAATTAACACTTAATGTTAAAAAAATATCACAATAATGAAGCATCAAGCTAAACAACAAGTGTTTCTCTTCCAAAACAATGAGTAAGTTTAGCAAAATCACCTGTTTTATTCAGTTCAATTGAAATTGTATGTGTATTTAAAAGATATTACTAGGGGGTGGATTTTATTGACACGTCGTTATTCTTTGCGCTTTAGAGCAATGCCTTTTAATATCAGCATTAATTTTAATTTATGATAAGTAGATTTTTAAATGACTTTTTTGTATTTTTTCGTCGATTTCGGCTAATAAGTCATTTTTTAACTTTTCCGTCATTTTTATAGCATTTTTCGATGACTTGATCGATTTTAATATAATTCTATTGGTATTTGCTTTCGATAATATTTACGAGATGCAACAAATTATTTCCTGAACAGCCTATTCGATTATCTTCGCTCAGATATAGTAATGTCGGTCGTTGTGAGCATGTAATGTTCCAGTGACGCCTATCAGTGGCATTGTTAGATCGGCCAATTTCGGCAGGGTTGCCATATGCTTCGTACAAACATCCGCCGTTGGATGGCTGCAAAGCCGCCCAATTCCGCCCAATAAGAAAAAAAAATCAACATTTCAACAACAGTTTGTGAATTTTGTTATTAATTTTTATTTTTTATTTAAATTATATTTTTGTAAAAATACTGTAAGTTATAAAATAATTTCCATACTTTCACATTTTCACCCCTTCCTTCTTTTAAATATCCGCGATTAAAAATATTATCACAGAAGTGCCGTTACATATGTATGGCTTTCATGCTTTATTCCCTGGGTGGCTTAACGCGAATATACTGGCAGTGAAACCTACTTTTAAAAAAGGCAAATTTTAAATGGTGTGTTCTAAAATTAACTCCAAGAACTGCAATGTTATATAATATATACTCATGTTGTGCACGGACAAATGAATATGACTTTTAGAACACTCCTTATACTAGAGATCTGGAAAACTAAACATTACTCCTTTTCGAAGTTAAATTAAACAAATTAACAAATAATTAATGAAAAATCCCGCATAATGTAAAACAACAAAAAAAATTCAAACTCACTGTTCAATGTTATGGTTGTTTTTTGAAAATTTCGTCGTAATCTGAGAATCCGCCCAAAATCGCACATGTTCTGATGCATCTCCGCTCATTGGTCGGTATTCCGCGAATTGAATTTTTGTCCCGCGAGAGAGAGCCGTTTTCCAGCCCAAAAAGTGGAATTCCGCCCAATCTGGCAACCACGGATTTCGGCATCACTAAATTCCGAGATTTCCTGGCGAAAAGCAGTCCAAACCAAAAGTTTGTAAACCGAGTTCACTCAGAAACGAAGAATCCTCGATTCCATTTGTAGCGTATCTATCAGCTTGAGTTATTCATATTAACTGGTTTTGATCAAATTGTTTTCGTCATTTTTCTCAGATTTTAAATGATTTTAAAGTCATTTTATTGATGATTTTTTGGCGATGTTTTAGGACATCAAAGTTTGCCTCTTTGACATTACTAATTTGCTGCATTGTTTCATTCAAAATGGTAGTATTTGCCAAGAAACTCGCACGAACCGCTACTGATTGTAAGTCTTCATAAGCTCTTTTGCCAACCGTACGGTGATAGAGGTGCAGCATAACATTGCCAACAAATTGGGTGAGGCT